AAGGATGCAATCACAGAGACAACACAAGAGAGGGGTGTACCAGAGAAATCAAAATAGACCAGGCAATAATTATCCCAATAACCAAAACCATTCACAGTGCAAAGCTTCACAGTCAGATCTTAGGACACCTGGATAGAATACAAACATCACCAGGCACAATAATGCACAACATACAAAACCCAAAGGGAAAAACACAAACCAGAATCAGTATTGTAATCAGTGGAAAACAAGCAGAAACAGAAGACAAAATCACAAAATTCTTATAAACCAATAGCTCAAACAAAAAAGAACTAATTAAAATTACAGAACAAACTGAAAGGTGGATAAGAATAAAAGCATACATAGATGGCTCAATGGTCTAGGAAGCAATCAACTGAACCAAGATAGGAGTGGGATGGCACATAACCGACCAGGAAACAGAAGAGAAAGTTACATATTCAGGTCATACTGAACACTTTCCATCGTTAACAAGAGCAGAACTGATGGCAATATTAATTATGCTAGTAACAATACCAGTACAAGCAGAAGTCAAGATATACACAGATAGCTAGGCAGCCATCCAAGAAATCCAGAAAGAAGACAAAGGAAGCTGCCAAATCTATAAAAGCGCAAACTGGATAACAAAAACTCTAATTAAAAAAATCATCAATGAAAGACAAGGACCAACAACATTCATTAAAGCTAGTCTGAGTCAAAAGTTTTGAGAAAAATTTTTTTTCAATTAAAATACAAATAATTAAAAATAAATACAAAATAAATATATTAGCAATTATAAAAATATAAAATAAAGAATTAATCTTATTTGTATTTTTTTAAATTTCTAATATTTTTTTTAAAATAAATATTAAATATTGAAAATTAACTTTTAGCTTATAAAATTATTCCAAAATAAATTTATATTATTAAAATCAATATGCATATTAAATAAAAAATTTTATAAAAACAATTAATATTCTAATTTAAATATTTTGATAAAATAATTTTTATATTTATTTAATAAAGATTTTAAATAATTAATAATTTTTTTATTTTATTAAAAAAAAAAGCAATCAATTTTTTGTTATTATATTTTTTAAAAAGCTAAATTTTTTTTAAATCCAAAAAACTATTATTTTAATTATTAATAATTTAAATTTTATAAATTTTTTATTAAGTATAATTTTTAGTTTTATATATTTAAAGTTTTTGATTTTTTATTAAACAATTTATATATAAATAAATAAAAATATTTTTTGATTATATTTAAAAATACATTACAAATATTGTTATAAAAATTTAAATAATTTGAGATAATTTATATTAAAAAAATAATTTTTTAAAAATCAAATTTCATAAAAATTTCATAAAAATTGATTTTGCAATTTTATGAAAATCAATTATAAATTAAAATTATTTATTAAAATAGTTATATTAAAATTATAAAAATATTTTTAAATAAAATTATAGGTTCTTATTTTATTAAATATAATATTAAAAATTATAATTAATATAATAGTTATAAAGTAATTAATAAATAATTTTTATCAAAAATTTTGAATCACACTGTATATAGATAAAATTGGAATTATATGAATTATGTAATAACAATGTATTAAAATTTTTAGAATAAAAACGAAAATAATAACAATTAATGATTTCATATTAAATAAATAAATAAATTTTTTTTTATTAAATGATTTTACTCGTTTATTCCGACTATGATGCAATTGATTACATTTTTTGATTAATTAAAAGACTCGCCTAGCCTAGTCTTTGTTAGATTTAAAGATTGGCCCGACGGTCCGATAATGATTATATTATTTAATAAAATGTGTCATTTATTCCGTGAAGTTTAATTGTCTCCTCAGTATTATTTTTAATTTTACCATTATCATTAATTAAAGGACCCTATATGTCATATGACAAAAAATCCAACGAATTTGTTTTTTGATATGCCTGTTTTATTACTTTCATGAAGGGTTCTTTTAGATGTCAATGGAGATGTTCAACGTTTTGTGTTACATGCAGCATAGAGAGAAAGATCGAATGCCCCGAATTGCTTCCAAATTTAGTCAAATCGTAATACAACATCACAACGCGCGTGATCTGCGGGAACACAAAGAATATCTCATGAAGATACGCATTCGTGATATCACACACACTACCATTTATATATAACGTATATATAGAACGTGTAAACACTTCTCTTGATGGTGTTAGACTGTGTACCGAAGTGCTGAGAAGAGTACGTTAAGTAATATTCTCACCAGAGTACTCTTTTTTTTTCTCCCTCAGGCTCAGCAATTAACCGTTTTACAATAAGGTCTTTATTCTTTGTGGAATTATTAAGCAATGTATGTAAATGAATGACCCTCTTTGTCGCACTCTACTAAACTATCCTTTTGTGATATCTTTTATAGTTTTCCTTTTTGGTGATAGATCCCTCGTTCTGGAGAAAAAAATAATTACTATTGTCGTATGATATACATTGTTAAGTTCAGATAGGAAACAAAGCGAATTTAGCACAAAATTGTTATGAGTTCAGTTCCTGAAGAAGACGATACAACTTGGCAGGACGCTAATGATTTCTACAATCGGGTTCGTCAGAACATAATAGCTTTTCTTCTATTTCTATTCCTATACTCGACATCGTATTCCTTGCTACAACGGTTTCGCAGGAGATATAGGGCTTCAGACGCAGAAGACGAAGATGAAGAGTTATTTGGCATCGATAATTTGATCATAATAGTGCTATGTGCTGCAGGATTGGCAATGGCATTGGCTGGATTTCTGCTATTACCTTTCACTATGATCGCAACGGCGTTGCTACACGATGACTGGTACCATGAAAATTATTACCTGAGCTGGTTGGATATCAAATTGTTGGAGACTCTATGGAATTACACTTTCACAGGGTGTAACATCGCCCTGTTTGGGTTACTTCCATTCGCATATTTCTATAATGAGACGGATCTGCAACGAAACTTTTTTGCAAAGGCTAGGGACACGTTAACCATCATGTCATTGGTTGGAATGTTAATGTATGCCTTTATCTATGTGTCCAAGAAGATTCTTGGGATAGTGGGTATTCACGAGTTAATGGTGTTGAATTTGTTGACTTGCTTAGGAGGTGCTAGTATTTGTTTGAAAGCGACACCAAGAGGTTACATTGAAATATTTTCGTGGATCGGTAGACTTCCCTTACGACCGAATTATCGCAACTTTCTAAATAACCGATTAAGTCAAATTAAAATGGACATCAGCGTTTTACAACAAAAATTGGACAACTTAGACCGCGGTTGGAAATCGTATACAGACAAAATGATGTCTCGATCCACTTCTATGGTTCCTATGACATCGCACTGTCCTTCATCCTCTGATAGATTGTATGCATCTATAAACGGCTTTCCATCAGTCAATTCTTCCTCAAGAACGAGTTACCCTGCTGGTGCGAACAGGAGAGATATTTTAATGGCACTTAAAAATCTTGACGCAGAACGACGTCAAGTTAAGCTTGACCTTGCACAGTCGCCATTATATCGCAACATAACTTTTGTCGCCCTTTTTCTATTCAGTCACTGTATCTGGTTTCTCTTGTTAGTTCATATTTCGTGGGCAATGGTCAAGAGCCTGCTCGAGGTCGAAGGAAAAAAGGACCTTTATAAACTGGAGGCTGTTTTTGGCAAGCAAACTGTGTCAATGTTTGGAAAATTTGGGGTATTAAGCGATCTCGGATTGATTTTCTACTTTACCGCTGCAACAATCATTGGTGTCTATTCCATTAAACCGTTTAAGAGAATCCGTCCCCGGTGGGGTCAAATGAACGTACAACATATGCTTGCCAATGTCACTGTTTTATTGATTATCAGCAGTTCATGGCCAACACTGGCGACTATATTGGGTTTAACACGATTAACCTCTGCGGGACCATATGACCATTTTTACAAATTAAATGCAGGCCCATGGCTTGCTTTTGCTTTTCGCTTTGGCACCATCATAACTACGGTATTTTCGGTACTGAACTATTATGTCTTGCGAAATTTACAAAGGGTTGGGATGACGATGATTGGAAATAGTCCCCAATCCAACGGAGTTTTACCCAATGGTGCGCTGAACGGTGCGATCACGAGAAATGGATATGTCAAACGGTAGCCTGTGATAACGCCATGTTTGGTGCAGTTAATTTTTCTCATCAATTGTTTCTGCTGAGATTTCAAAGTGTGAAGATCAAACAACCTAAATTCATCGATTGAACGATATTTCAAACTTTCTTCTCGTTCACTTCACTTGTATAGAGTTATTATTATTTGAATATTATGTACACAATTAGGGATTATCGAGTTGTGTTTTTTTTTGTTTTTTTAGTCATCATATCCCAATAATATGTAATATAAATACATTATATAGATTTTTTTCTATAGGTCTTCATTTTTTTATACAAAAATATCCTGCAAACATCATATACAGTATATCCCCTTAAAAAATTAAAAATACATCAAATACTCGAAATCACAAAAAATGTGCAGGAATAGGTAATTGCAAAATGAATTTTAATTACACGCTATTCCTTTTACAATATTACACTGGAGGCGCTTAACTAATTACAGGGGTATTCGGGTAAAATTTCTCCTTTCACGTGTTATTATATGCGGAGAAATTTTATCAGATCAAGCAAACTTATGAATGTATTTAAGTAAATCTTTCTGTACAGTACATTTTGAATATATATATATATATATTATTATTATTATCGATTATTGCTTTATACCATGCTCTATTTTAATTAGGGTTGAATGATAAAATCAATAAACCAGATAGATACGTATAAGCAATAAAAAAATTTTTGTATGAAAAAGATTTTAAAGAAAATATTAATAGAACTAAAAAAAAATAAATTTTATTTTTCATTGTGACTTGTTAAAAGCATAATTAATAATAATTACTCTTTTGAAAAAATAATCAATTGTCAAATAATTTGTTATCCTTTTTATTTATTATTTTTATGGAACTTTTTTTCAAATATATAATTATAAATATAAATTTTATGTACAGTATATATAGTGTGATTATAAAAAAATTATAATTAAAAGAAAATTTTTTGTTTTAATTATAAATTTAAAAAATCAATTAAATTTGAAATTAAAGTATTAAATTAAATTAATATTATCAAATAAATAGTGATAAAAAATTATTTATTATTATTTATTATATCTTGTATAGTTTTTATATTTGTTTTTTTTTATTGATTTTAATATATAGTAAATGTTAAATAAATTGGATTTTTATTTAAAAAATTTTTCATCATATTCTTATGATTTGAATAATAAATAATATAATATATATTTTTTAATTTTCAAATTGAAAATTGAAAAAAAAATAACAAATAAATTTATTTAAAACATATTTGTAATTATGTATTAGCAAAAAAAAAATTGATTTAAAAGAATAATAAAATAAAGATATAAATAATTTAAATAAATAAAGTTAAATCTATAATAAGAAAATGTACATTTTATATTTATTATAAGATTATTAATTTAATTTATATTACATTTATTAAATTCAATTAATTCTAATATTCAATATTCAATCTAAAATAAAATAAAATAAAATAAAAAATTCATCAATTAATCAATTTCTTAATAATTTATAATTACCATGATTTTATTTTATAAAAAATATATTTCAATTGTTTGATCATTCATGTTATAAATTAACTAAATACAGATTAACTTGTATTATATATTATAATTGTTATATAAAAATATATAGGATCATCTATTAGATCAAAATATAATAAATTCGAGAAAGCAATAAAATAAATAAATATAATTTTTATAATATAATCTTTTAATAATCCATTTTAATTAGGTTATGGATTTTTTATTATATTGCAAATAATTGTATGAACAAGTTTTTAATTAAATTTTTATATTTGCTTTTCAAAAAAGCATCACTATATACCGTACACTTTTTAAATTGATCTTAAACTTTGTATACTGTATAAAAAACTTTTTGAATTATTATTGTTATCTCACAATCTTTTTATTTCGATAATAATTATCTATATAGTTAACTATTGTTATATCAAAGTAATAAATTTTGTACAAAGTCACTTTGATATATTTCATGATCAATTGACGTCGATTAAGAAAAAAAAAATTATGTATTTACAAATGGAAAGTTTTTGGTAAAGTGAAAAAGTAATTCTTGGAATATGAAAATTAATCAGTAATGAACTAATATCTACATAATTATTAATACAAGTTTAACGTATAACTTATCTGATAAAGTTAAACTTATATGATGTCATAATAGATACGTTTAAACATGAACCTAACACTAATAGATTCCTTTTTCATTAGTGTGATTTCTTTTGCTATTATTATTTTTTTTTTTATTAGAAATTAAATAAAAATTTTTTTTTGGTCAAAGCAAGCAAAAAAACGTTCGCACCTTTAAAAAAGAAAATCTACTTCCAACACGTCGATGTTAATTCGATTCTAAACGTTTAATTAACTACAAAATTATGAACGTATACTGGATAAATACTTTTACGTCTCTGTAAAGATCGTCTATATCGCTATTAAATTGTCCCATTGGTCATTCATACAGAGTACATGACGTTATTAATTTCGTCAACATTAACAAATGATCTCCAATTACGTAGTAATGTTTCTATTCATTATCGAAGACCAATGATATCTTTGTACATATTCTACCATCTTCGAGGTTTTAAGCCTACGCTACTTCGGACTTTCGACATGGCTCGCCGCTATTTCGGACTCTCGGCATGACTCACGACTTTTTGGATTTTGTTTATGCCGTCTGAGTGCATCCAACCTATTATCAAACAAATTCATTGTTAAAAAACCCTGACCTTTATTCAAATTATTTTGCATCAATCTGACGAACCTCGAAAATAATTTTTTGCAACCAAGACATTTATAGGGTTTGGCGTTTTCATGAATCTTTTGATGCCTCTTCAGATCATGATTCCGTGCGAACGCTGTTTCACATGAAGGACACTTAAACGGTCGATCAGTTGAGTGCGTCCGTTGATGTGATTTGAGATTGTAAAGTCGCGCAAACGTTTTATTGCACTGTGTGCACTCATACCCAAGCTGAGATATCAGACCGTCACCATTTGTGCTTTGAGAATGTCGGCGAGATGTCAGATCTGAGATAGATGTTTTTCGTCGTTTTACGGAATGCGAGCCCATTGATAGATCGTTTAAATCTTTATCCGTATTTGCGGAATCAGATGATATGTCTTCCTTGTCGCCAGAAATAAGAAAAGATTCAGGGCCAGCAGCGTAAGAAACTTCTGAATAATCATTAGTTGCCGATTGATAAAAAAATTGAGGGTTCTCGGTCATTGCAGTAATAAGCAGATCAGCAGATAATCCAGCTTCTAAAGAATCACCGATTTGTCGATCATCCTTTGTGATGAATTCCTCAACATTTTCTTCGGTATCACTAGAATGCCTACGTTTTGATGACTGAGAAGGTGAGAGTACTATCTTTGTACCGGGTTCTCCATGATTGGAGAGAGTAACAGGAAGCAAAGATGGATCCATAACGCTACTCCAGTCTATCGAAATATCAACGTGCGTCTGTGCAGTTGATGTTGAATCTGGATCAAGATGATTATCCGATAACTTTTGAGAAAATGTTCCCCATTCTGTCTCAAAATATGAATGATCTATAACTGCTTCTTCTATTTCTTGTAAAGGACTGGGATGAGCTGATTTATGTTGAATACTAATACTATCCCATCGTTCTTTGCATTGATCGTCAATACGCCCGGAAATAGTCGATGTAATCTCTTTACATTTTCCAAGACCAAAATTAAGAATACTATTTTTTGACAATTCATCCTCTTTTGGACACCATTTAATCTCCTCAAAAGTAGGTATTTTATTATCAACTTCAGAAACTTTGACAAATTCAGATTTCTCTAAATTCAATATGTTTGAATCGGAGTTAGATCCAGGAACATCTCCCCGTCCTAGCAACTGCAATACTTGTGCTGCCGCCGTTTGTTCTTCTAAATCATCAAATGATTCGTCATTACCTTCTAATTCACTATTATTATTCCCTTTCTTGTCGTGCATTCCCTGATTTTTATCGTCAGAAAATAATTCTTCGGTAATTTCTTGGACGGTCGATCCATGATTAGATATCGACCTTTCAACATCAAGTGCTTTTTGAGTCATTGATCTTGTTATTCGTCTTTTCATAAACTTCTCCTTCGCCTCAATTTTGCCTCCGTTGGCTTGTTTTGTTGACGAGTTACTGTTAACCTGACTCGTCGGCATGGTGGCAAAATCTTGAAAGAGGTTGTTTTCAATCCACGCGTTAATTGACTGGCTAGGTGACACCATGCCTCTTCGAGGCTTTGTGAAATTGTACAGTTTTGGTGGCTTATAATAAGATAGTATTGTAAATATGAACGAGTTAAAGTTGAATGTAAAAGTTAAATAGTGGTACGTTTCCAACGCTTATGACTGTATACATTCATATAAATTTATCTTAACGAGATATGTATAAACCGAAAACTGTACCAGTCCTTAAGAAAAAGAAGGAAAAGAGTGGCAGTTAGTCTAACATGGAACGATCAGCACGAGGACTTTTATTTTCACAAAATCATGTGTCAATTACGTAACGATTGACAATTTACTTTTTAGATTAAGCATATGCAACATTAATGTGATTACTTGTAGACGCAAATTCTTCCGAAACCATTTCAAAAACAATTAACAATCTTGATACATTACCGCTTTAAATTACGCGCTCAATCACAAAGATCTTCCAGGATGGATTTCATGGACTAGCTACAAACCAGCAAACTACAGTCAATCGATCAGCACATACTTTATCAGTGTGTATCGTTTGAGCAAAGTCGTTCGAAGAGAGTGACATTTCTAAAGTTTTTTCTCACAAATCAACACAATGAAGTTCACTATTGCTATGCTCTCGAGGGAAAAGAAAGATACTTTGTGACCATAGGTGTAAAGAACAAAAAACGCGTCGTTATCATTAATCATTGGAGTAAATGAGGTTGATCGAAATAGCAACGATAAAAGTATAATATAAGAGAAGAGAATAAATTTTACAATGTTAGAAAAGGACCTTTATATGTAAGCTATAACATTACGTCATCATTACGTAACGTACAATTTTATTAAACCATGATACTTTGGCCGGCCATTCGTTAAAATTATTTTAATATGGTTTACTTATTAAACATTTTAATAGGCTTTATGGAAAATAATATCATATATTATATATCATTAATAAAACAATAGGACTTTTCTACAAAAAAAATAAAATAGCAAATCAATTAATATTACTATAAATATTTTGTCAAATTCATATATCTTTTTTGAAAAGATATCAATTTTTTTTTATTCTAAAATAATATATTGTAAATTCTCTTTAAATGTATTTTATCAGAATCATAAAAAAATTTTTGAGAATGTGCATTTATAGAGAATGCATATTTATAGAGGATATGCATTTATAATGATTTTATTAAAAGCTTTATATACTTGGAATTAAACTTAACTGTAGATTTAGAAAATATATATACAGTATAACAAGTACAGTTGAATCTTTATAAATTAATAATTTTAGAACCATGATGCTTTTTTCAAAATTTTATAAAATTAAAGAGATTATTAAAATATAGAAACAAATTATATAGTAATTTTGAAAATGGAACTAGAGAATTTTATAAATTTAAGAAAATAATTAATAGATTATTATTATTATTTTTTTTTTTTTAGTGCACCAGCGATAATTGTCTGGTTAAGTATTTATTGAATAACGATGTTTACATATATCTTTCGACATTACTATCTAGGACTATGCTATAACGTATTGGTTGTTAACTATACCCAACACTTATCGGGATTGCTCCAAATAACGATGTTTGCTATAGCTTGTTCCTAACTATATTAGGTATAGAGGCTAATCTACTGGACAA